AAGTTGGCATCTTGAAGAAGAAGACACACACACACTCACACCTAAGTTGACACATTGGCTACATGATTGTGATTAGCTATGATAAAGCATAAACTATCCACATCCACTCTTAATACAAGTTAACCCCTGTGCCTTGCTGACACAACATTAAGGGGAAGAAACTGAACTCACTTCCACCACACAGCCCATCCTTACCTTGCTCATTAATCACTGTTACTGTACTGTTCAGCTCCACCTCCACCTCCATAGAGCAACATGTCCAACATCTCTGACATTAATTTTCAGATGCCCAGTGCTCACAGTGTTCTCTGTGTAATCGTTTACCCAGTGTGAGGGTTTCCTCTGGGAAGAGAGCAACAGGGAAAAGAGAAACAGGACGATTTAAAAAACTCTATGACACAGGTCTCCAAGCTCCAAGGCGCTTGTCCTCGGGCTATCCACCACCGTAAATGGTCTTGCCCTCTTGGTTCCTCACTCGTTACTGTTTGAAAACACAATGACACTTGATCATATTTTGAATCTCCAAATGTCTAGTTTGGAGTCAGACAGAGAAAACTTGAAGTACTCAGGCAAGGGACATTTACAAGAGCAGATATTCTTCAAGGCTAGTTTTGGGATCTCTTATGAATTTTCTCATATGTGTAAATTACTTTTCTATATGAACTAATAAGAAACTGCATGTCCTGAATGATCACATAGTTCGAGTCGTTCTTAGTGGGTATTTCTCAGCTTCTTCTATATTGTGGGCTGGTTTTGTCTACCAGACACACTCTGCCTTGTCCCTGTATAACCAGTGTCAATTCAATAGCACACTGTCTTATGTTTGTGGATTCACAGTCATAGCAGCCATGTTTACATCCCAGTAAGGTTCTAAGGTGGGAAAAGACCCTCTCTGTCTTGATTGCCTTCAAACCCTGTACATTCTTAACATGAAAAAATGGTACAACTTTGCTGATAGACCAATCCACAGGCCTCTAGGTATAGAAGAGAGTTTCTTCCATCTGTGCATCTCTAGTTCTGCATCTCTGTCACCTTCCCCAGTGGAAGAGAGGGTGAAGGAACCTCTTCCAGTTTAGCTGTGTATGGTTTATTTCTTCTGGCATCTCAGACATGTCTCCTGCCGGCCTGTCCTCAGCCTGGAGAAGAGAAACTCAGCAGAAATAGCAGGTTCGCCTGTCCTCAGTTGACCTCCAAAGAAACTAGGACAGTGGGAGGCTGAAGGTAAGGCCTCTCCATCACGCACCAGCGGTCAAAGCTGGCTTTCAGTGGAACCTCTCCAAACAGCTGAAATTGGTGTCAAACCACCAGTCTGGGCAGCCTCTCCCAGGGCTTCCTCGGCCACTAAGTGTTCTACCCCGAGTGAACTCCACCCAGTGGTGAGCTAAGGTCAATCAAACATGCATTCATATGCCGGAAAGTGACATATCCAACCGGCCTGGCTCTCTGATGATGCCCACAGAGTCCAGCTGTGGCTGGCTGCATGCTCACAGGTGCCGGGTACCCAGCTAAGTATGCCAGTGGCTCATGGGATGGGCAGGAGATATTGGCACAGGGCACCAACACTTCTGCAGGAGTCATAGTGAAGGTTGCCACATAGCGTAGAAACAGGTTAAGTTTGAGCTTCCGAGGATCAAGGCTTCCATCACAGCTTGGTCTTGTGTAGGTCCTTTAATGGCACTTTGACTCTGTTTAACTACTTGTCAAATGAAGGTTACATAGGGTAGTTGTGAGAAGTAGCAATCACAAAAGTAAAGAACCAGCTGTCCAGTAATACAGGATCAAACAGATGATAGAAAGGAGCAAAGAGCCCTCCCCAGATGATGGCCAGGTTCTGTTAATGCTGAAGCTGATCTGGTGGGTCTCGAGTCTACCCTTGAGGGCTGTGCATATTGCCTGATGGGTAGTACGCTGGAAGACACCAGCCTCAGAGACAGAGCCTTGTCCTATCTTCTATTGCCTTGAATAGAGCATTTCGCTTCCATGACTCTCATTTTCTTGAATTAGCAACTGGGACTGTTTGGAGTTGTTCATTTTTATGGCTTTGGGGTTGAACCTTTCCATTTGTCTCTTAACTAGGCAAGGGCAGGTGAGTTTGTAGGGCCCCAAGGAGCTCTCAGCTGAGGATGTAGTGTAAATACCAACATCATCAATTTGGATCTCTGCAAGAGGCAGCAAAGCAGGTTTTCTGTGGGATTTAGCCCTGAACTCAGGATCTACAAAGTGTCCCAGTCCTATCCATCTAATCCGTGCTGCTGTGATCTCGGCCACACATGTGGTTATTAGACAACGGCCAGTAGACCAGTCTCAGCCTCTAGCAGATTCTCCAGGGCAGCTTGCTAGCGGCGGTGAGCTGACTTCTGGAAACATTTTCCATTCCATGCATGGCAACAAGTAAACATTTCCTTATTGGCAATTAATCAGATCAACCGTCTCTGACCCTCCCACAGTGGGAGCCTCAAGGAACCACGCAGAGTCTCTAAACATAGCAAAGACATTTCTTCCCAAAGCCAGGTCTTGCTACTATCTCAGCTGCTGCTGCCTGAGCCGTTTTGAATGACAGGCCCTCTTCTTTGGTGCTGTGCTTCTTCTTTCCTACCTTCTGTCCTAGAACTCAGCTAAAAACAACATGCAATGTCATCTCAACATGTCTCTAAAAAGGATCCCCTTGATACCCAGGGGGGCAGCGACTCAGCTGGTCTCCAAATCGCTGTCTGTATTTCCTTCTCTCAGCACCCATAGATGCCCTACCTCTCCTGGATTTCAGGGTAGGACTTCTTGGCATATACCTGTCCTGTGTGAGGTTTTGCTGTCATGGACCATCTGGACCTGACTCTTCCAAAGATGCTCTTCTTCTCTGTGAGAGTCAGCAGGGCTTTTGAAAGCAACCTGTTGGCAACACACACCTGCAGACTTACAGTAACTTTTCCACAGAACACCTTCCACAGGCAAATGGTACCATTCATTCACATTCTCTCACTCTATTCCTCTGATGGATTTTATTAAGGACTACCTATAAAATTTCTCCTCAGGGCTCACTCATTTGGTAGAGAATGATTAAAAGCTTATTCTGCTGTGTGTCTCTGGTGTTTGGAAGTAGGGAACACCCAATATCTTCTGAATAAATAAATACATACATACACCTTCCATTTATTTTCTATGAACCAGAACAGCAGAGTTGAGGAACCTTCCAGCCACTAAAGGGCAAGAGAACACAGTTTTGGGCTTTCCCTCAGTTTCTAGGAGAAGAGGGTACAGGAAAAAGCAACAATATAAAGGAAATGATCAGCCATAAATGAAACATGCTTAAGCTTTGGGAACACACACACACACACACACACACACACACACACACACACACAGCCACACACTGGGCTGGTGATTGACAAGTTCAGTGAGGGATTTCCAGCTTCTCTCAGCTTCCCAGCATTTCTTCTTGAGAGACTGAGACCCATCCAATTACATAAGGGCATTTGGAGGGCACAGGAATTGTGGGAACTTCTTCTCACACTGCGGTAAAACTTATCTGGACTTCAAATACTCCCTCCTCCACTTCCTTGTCAACTAGCCTGTCCAAAAAAAAACCCTCAGATTCTCTCCCTTGATGTTCCTAACAGGTGTTTCCTTCCAATACAAAGCCCTATAGGAAACGTGAGAACCCAGAAACACAAAGCCATCAGTGATAATATTTTACATCTTCCACACCTCTCACCTCCACAGTTGGGCGGTTGTAACGTGATCTGACCTGGACATGCACAGCCTTGATTACAAGTGGTTGCAGTGGTCGGTGCTTCAAAGTCGTGAAATGCTCAGGCATGCGCTGGCTGCAGATGGGATGACAAAGTATCGCGTGTTCACCACAACCCCTCAAATTCATGGCACCTACTGCAAGCTGAGTTCCTTATTCCACATTTGCCTGTTACTGACCCTGAGAACATTTTCTCACAATTATTGTCACATGCATGCAGACTAACATTTTTGCATGTGTTTCAGGGCTAATACATGGCATATGCACATATTAAGTACATGCAGATTTTGATGATTTTATTCATTTTCTCTTTGGCTTGAGCTTGAGGAGTGAGGACACCCCAGAGGCCCATGTGCTCCACCCAAGGGTGGTGTTCATTCAACACACATTCATTGAGTGCTTGTCCCAAGCCAGGCACCGTAGTAGATGAAAGCGATGTCACGACACTCCCACCAAGCATGGATCCCATCAGAGGGTCATTTTTAATGAGCAAATAAACACATTAGAAATTCACATGCCACATGGTGTGGATGCCTGGAGAAACAAGCCAGGGAGAAAGAAGGAAGGATGAGCCAAGTGTGCCCTTTCAGATGGGGGTCAGGGGCGCTTCTCTTAGGAAGTAGCCTCTAACCAGAGCTTCATAAAGCAAGAACCATGGGCGTACATAGGGAAGAAATGTCCCAAGCAGGAGACTGGCAGGTGCAAAGGTCCTGAGGTAGAGCCTAGTTGGGTGTGTCAGAAATAATCAGCAGCTATGAGGTCATACATCTAGATGTAAACTTGAAAGTGCCTGTCTTCTCCCAGACAGGCTCTGCTCATCTCCAGGTGCCCAGTAATCTGTGTGGAAGTGACTAAACCAGTAAAGTTTGGGGACAAAACTAGATTTGGACTTTTTACGAAATCCCTGATGTCTCCATGTTAGCTCAAATGTTGAAAATAGTCTGTGAACAAGACAAGTCCAATCCAGAGTTTCTCTCTTGTGAGCTCTACTCAAGTGAGTAAATGACTTTCTTTTTTTTCCCTTCCTTCTTCCCTGCCTTACTTCCTTTCCCTCCCATTCCTTCCCTCCCTCCCTCCCTTCCCCTCTTTCCCTCCCTCCCTCCCTCCCTCTCCCCTCCCTTCTCTTTCCTTTTTAAAGAGAGGGTCTCATATAGCTCAGGTTGGCCTAAGACTTGCTGTGTAGCCTATGATGACATTGATTTCCTCATCCTCCTGCCTCCCACCTCCTAAGTGCTGACATTAAAAGAGTTACTGTGTCAAGTTTATTTGGTGCTAGGGATCGGTCCAGAGCTTCACCACACACACACACACACACACACACACACACACACACACACACACACACACACCAGGCAAGCACTCTATCAACTAAGCAGTATCCCCAGTTCCGTAAAGTCAAGTTTTTCACCTTACTTTTAGACTCTAAGTTTTTAAAAATGCATAATACTATGTGGTCCAAGTTAGCTTGCTTTTAGCTCCTATAACAGTCTGCTAGACGGTCTGTGGCTCTCACTTCCATTCCTCAAATAGAAGTTGCCTGAAGACTCAGTCTTGATTGATTTAGTATTCTCAGTAATTATCTGTGCTGAACAAAAGATTTCAAAAGAAATCTACTAAGATAATTCATTAAAAGGGAGCCTTTGTCTAAAATAATGAATATATATATATATATTAAAAATACTCACAAATATATAAATTAAGTCAGAACCTGAAAGCTATTTTAAATGCTTAAAACCTTGTGCAAAATTACATTGTAACCATAACAAAAATAATTTAAACACCAAGAATTCACTATCATTTACAAGCATACCAGAATTCAGAGCATGCACTGGAAAAGTCCCCCCATGAAAGCAAAAGAGAAGACATAAATGGGCCCAGCATCATCGTGTCTTCATGTGGGCGCTGTCCTCTGCAGGGTAGCACAGGGCATGTCTCTGCTGGTTTGAAATAGGTGTCAGATGGAAAGAATTTTCTTCCAGACAGTGACCCTTTCATTCAGGGCTTATCCCTACCCCTCCCTGTGGGTTTGTGCTCAGAGCAGCAATACGCACAAAATTGACCCAGCCACCATATCGCCTTGCATTTGGCAGTTCCTAAAACCTTTTACTTGTCACTCTGGGAGGTCATAAGCCAGCTGAGAACACAGGCTCAGAGAAAGAAATGCAGACAAGCCAAAGCCAGTCTATGTTAAAGCCACTGTTCCCCCTGCATAGCATGCTGCTCTTTTCACACATGTTAGGCTTAAGAAATATACATCTTTTCTAATTAAAAAAATTTGAGAATGGATCGTATTTTAAGTTTAAAGTTCAGCTGCATATTCTCAACTTCTTCCACACAATTCAAGAGTTTAAAAAATTAAGACCCTCTAAATACTAATTTTAAAGCCAGATAATATGAAAACATTCTAATATTTCTCAGTGGAAGAAGAGAGGAACATAGGATTTGGTCTAGAATAATAAAACAGGAATGATTTCCAAGGCATAATTTAATCCTTGCTCTTTTAACTTTGTCTAGGATCCATTAAATAGAAAAACAAAACTGATCTGATGCGGTGTTAAAATATGAAGATCAAAGCATGCACATTGGCTTGTTATAAGCAGCCAGAAGTCTTAAACCAGCTCTAAACCAGTTTCTTTCTCAAATGAGTAGAAATTCCAATGATTGCATGTGAAAGTGCATGTATTATGCACAATAACTGAAACAAAGAACTAAAGGAGAGTTAGCCATAGATTCTTCTCCAGAAGCTTCCTAAAATGTACACATACACATATTGTTAGTTTGTTTTCTATTGCTATGGTAAACATCACGACCAAAAGCAACCTGGAAAGGAAAGGGTTGATTTCACCTTACAGCTTACAACGTGGAAGGAAGCCAAGGCAGGAACTTAAGACAAGAACTTGTAGGCAGGAACTAAAGCAGAGGCCATGGAGGTGTGCTGCTTTACTAGCTTGCTTAGCTTGTTTTCTTATCCCAGGACCAACTTCTCAGGGTGGCATCACTCTCCGTAAGCTGAGCCCTCCCAAATCAAACATTAATTAAGAAAATGACCTACAGAATTGCTGACAGGCAGTCTAATAGACTCGTTTTCTCAATTGAGGTTCCCCTTCTCAGATAATTCTAGCTAATGTCAAGATGATAAAAGCTATCCAGCACACAAATGTAAAAAGAATTAAATGGAGTTATCCTATAATAGGACAACAATGTCCCCACTAGATACCACAGGCTAACAATGAAAAAAAAAAAAAAAAAAAAAAAGACCAGGACCAGGAATGAGTTACCTCCTTTGGAGTTGTTGGCCAGGGAAATTCAATATACACCATTTCTCTTCTATCAGGTTCAGTGTATCTGGTTTTATGTTGTGGTCTTTGATTCACTAAGATTTGAGTTTTGTGCTGGGTGATAGATATGGATCTGCATTCTTCTACATGCAGACATCCAGTTAGACCAGCACTATTTGTGAAGATGCTTTCTTTTTTTCCTTTGTATAATTTTGGCTTCTTTGTAAAAAATCAAGTATCCATGGGTGTGGATTTACTTCTGGGTCTTCAATTTGAATCTATTGACCAACTTGTCTGTTTTTATGGCAGTACCATGCAGTTTTTATTTTTATAGCTCTGTATTACAGTTTGAAATCAGGAATGGTGATACTTTCAGAAGTTCTTTTATTGCACAGGGTTATTTTAGCCATCCTGGGTTTTTTGTTCTTCCATATGAAGTTGAGTATTATTCTTTCAAGGTCTATAAAGAATTATGATGGAGTGTTGATGAGGATTGCATTGAATCTGTAGATTGCTTTTGGTAAAATGGCCGTTTTCACTATGTTAATCCTGCTGACCAATGAGCATGACAGATCTTTCTATCTCCTGATCTATCTTCTCCAACTTCTTTCTCCAAAGACTTGAAGTTCTTGTCATATAGTTCTTTCTCTTGCTTGGTTAGAGTTACCCTCAAGATATTTATATTATTTGTGGCTATTGTGAAGGGTTTTGTTTTCCTGATTTCTTTCTCATCATTTGTATATAGGAGGGATACTGATTTTTTTTTTTAGTTAATTCTGTATCCAGCCACTTCACTGAAGGTGTTTACCTGGAAGGGGAGAGAGGGAAGGGAACAGGAGGGATCAGGTTGGGGGAAGAGGGAAAAAGAGAATATTAGGAGAGACAACTGGAATCTGGGGCATCTCTGGGATGAGCTAGAAGCCTAGAACAATGGAACCTCCCAGGAATCTATGAGGGTGACCCAAGCTAAGGCTCCTAACAATAGAGGATACTGAGCCTGAACTGGCCATCTCCTGTAACCAGGTAAGACTTCTAGTGGAGGGACTGGGACACCAACCCAGCCACAAACCCTTCAACCTACAATTAGTCCTGCCTACAAGATGTGCTGCCAAAGATGGTGTGGAAATTGTGGGAGCGGACAACCAATGACTAGCCCAGCTGGAGACCCTCACCCCTGAGAGGGAGTTCCCCCTCCACCCAGGGCCAGGACCCAGAGGCGGGATACCCCAAAGACCTAGGATAGAATCAAACATGGCTGGCAAAAACAAACAAAAATGTCAATGAAATGATTCCTAATGGTATTCTGCTGCACTCATAGATTGTTGCCTAGACCAACTGTCATTAAGAGAGGCTTCTCCCCACAATTTATGGAAACAGATACAGAGAACCACAGTCAAACATTAGGTGGAGGTTGGGGAATCCTGCAGAAGAGAGGGAGGAGGAACTGTAGAATCAGTGGTTTCGAGAGCACAACAAGAAAACCCATAGAATCAACCAACCTGGGCTCATAGGAGCTCACAGGGACTGAACAGACAACCAGGGAGCCTGTATGGAACTGACCAAGGCCCTCTGCACATATGTTACAGTTGTGTAACTTGGCCTTCATATGAAACTCCTAACAGTGAGAGCAGGGGATGTCTCTGACTCTGTTGCCTGCTTTTGGGACCCATTACACCCACCATATTGCCTCATCCAGTCTTAATAGAAGAGGAGGTGCCTAGTCTCAGTGCAACTTGATATACCATGGCTGGCTGATATCCATAGGAGGCCCACCTGAAGAGAAACAGTGGAGGAGTGGTTGGGGCAAAGGGAGGTAGGGGACAGGAGCTGGGTATAGAGGAGAGAGAGGAAACTTTGCTTGGGATGTTAAAACAAAATAAACAAGTTAATTAATTAACAACAACAAAAGAACTAAAATAAAGCCCAGGACATTGAGAAGAAAAACTTTAAAATGGGGGTACAGAACTAATCAGAGAGTTCTCAAAAGACGAAGCACAAATGATTGAGAAATACTTAAAGAGATGTTCAACATCCTTAGTTATCAGGGAGGTGTAAATCAAAACTTCTCTGAGATTTCATACTACCCCACTCATCGGCCAAGATCAATAAAACAAATGCACCTCGTGCTGGTGGGGATGTGGGGAAAGGGGGGACACTCTTCATTACTGGTAGGAGTGCAAACTTGCACAGTCACTATGAAAATCAGGTGGCAGATATCTAGGAAGCTGAGAATTCATTTACCTTAGACCCAGCTACATCACCCTTGGGCATATACCCAAAAAGATTCTATATCCCACTACAGAGACACTTTCTCATCCATGTTCATTGCTGCTCTCTTCACAATAGCCAGAAATTGGAAATTCACCGATGAATAGATAATAAAAATGTTGTACATTTACATGACAGAATATTATTTAGCTGTAAAAACATCCACAAAATTATGAGATTTGCAGGTGTATGGATGGAGGTTAAAAAGACATTCTGAGTGAGGTAATCCAGACCCAAATAGACAAATGTCTGTTTTCTCCTATATGTGAACAGTAGCTTTTAAGCCTTTGATATATATGCTACAATCTGTATAACCACAGAGGTTAGTCATAGATTGTATGAAAATTTTCTTTTAAAAAAAAAATCTTTGAAATAAACAAGACAATGAATAGTGTGTGTGTCCAGGTCATTAGTCACTTTTACTTATCTCATGGGTCTGACAAAACCAACAAAAGGACAAAAGCAACTTGAGAGGGGGAGGGAGGGAGGGAAGAGAGACAATTAGGAGGGAGGGAGGGAAGAAGGGAGGGAGGCAGGATGCAGGGAAGGAGGGGAGAGAGAGGTGGGAGTGCTGTGGGATGGTCTGTATGTCAAATGTGTTGCTCTGATTGGTCAATAAATAAAACACTGATTGGCCAGGAGCCAGGCAGGAAGTATAGGCAGGACTAACAGAGAGGAGAATTGAGAGAACAGGAAGGTGGAGGGGACACTGCCAGCTGCTGCCATGTCAAGCAGCATGTGAAGATGCTGGTAAGCCACGAGCCACGTGGCAAGGTATAGATTTATAGAAATGGGTTAATTTAAGATGTAAGAACTAGATAGCTAGAAGCCTGAGCCATTAGGCCAAACAGTTTAAATAATATAAGCATCTGTGTGTTTATTTTCTAAGTGGGCTGTCAGACTGCCAGGGTTTGGCAGGACCCAGAGAGAAAACTCTCCAGCTACAGTGGGAGGGGGAGGGAAGTAGGGATGGAGAGAGAGAAGAAGGGAGGGAGGGAGAGAGGGAGGCAGGAGGGAGGAGAGGGAGAAAGGAAGAGTGTGAGAGAGAGGCAGGAGGGAGGGATTTTTTTGTTTGTTTGTTTCTGGTTCCAGGGGATACTACTCAACACGATAGAGAAGTTAAGGCCACAGAAGCAGGAGACTGTTGGTAATATTGCATCCACTGTTGGGAAGTAGGAAGTGATGATGTATGTGCTCAGTTCACTCTCTCCTTTTATCCAACTCTGACCTTCCTATAGGATGGCATTGCCCACATTTAGGAAGGTCACCCCATTAATTAACCTAATCTAGCTAGTCTCTCAGAGACACGGCCAGATGATAGCTTTTTCAGGGGTTCTAGCTTGTGAGGTTGGCAATCACTATCAGTCAACACAGAGAGACTGTTTTTGGAGATGAGATCTTGTTGTGGAATAATCCTCTCATACAATGTGAACATTTGTCACTCAAACTGGTTTAATAAAATGCTGATTGGCCACTAGCGAGGCAGGAAGTATAGGCAGGGCTACCAAACTCAGAATGCTGGGAAGAGGAAGGGCAGAGTCAGGAGTCACCAGCCAGACACAGAGGAAGCAAGATGAGAATGCCGAACTAAGAAAAGGAATCCAAGCCATGTGGCTAAACATAGATAAGAATTATGGGTTTATTTGAGTGTAAGAGCTAGTGAGTAATAAGCCTGAGCTACCAGTCGAGCATTTATGAGTAATATTAAGCCTCCAAGTCAATTATTTGGGAAGTGGCTGCTGGGTATTTGGGAGTTGTAGGTGGGACAGAAACTTCTGCTTACAGGATCTAATGTAACCTGACTAGTGTCAAATGCTCTACATCAGTAAGAATGACTTTGAACTTCCAATTCTTTTGCCTCCACCTCCAGAGTGCTTGGATCATAGGCATGTACCACCACACCTGGGTATGTGGTAATGGGGGTGGAATTCAGAACTTCATGCATGCTAGGCAACTACTTTACCAACTGAGTTATTTTCCAGCCCAGGAAAGTAAATACTAATGAAGAATGAATCACCAGTGTGGTGGTTTGAATAGGAATGGCCTCCATAGAGTCATGTGTTTGAATGCTTAGCCCATAGAACGTGGCACTATTAGGAGCTTTGGCCTTGTTGGAATAGGTGTGGACTTAGAGGAAGTGTGTCACCGTGGGGGCAGGCTTTGAGGGATCACCTGCTCAAGCTATGCCCAGTGTGGTACTCAGTTTACTTCTGCTGCCTGTGGATCAAGATGTAGAACTCTCAGCTTCTTCTCCAGCACCATGTCTGCCTGCACACCGCCATGTTTCCTGCCATGACGATAATGGACTAAACCTTTGAAACTATAAGCCAGTGCCAATGAAATGTTTTCCTTTGTAAGAGTAGCCATGGTCGTGGTGTTTCTGCATAGCAACAGAAATCTTAACTAAGACAACCAACCTCAGAGATCAAGCAGAGGAATTTCCCCAGAACACAGAGAGAACAGAAATGTGAGGGAAAACATGAATGAAAGTTTAGGGTATAGAGGAATGGTTCAAAGTTTGGATTATTCTAGTTGTTGTTTCTTTTTGAGCTTTTGTTGTTGTTGTTTTGAACCAGAGTCTTGCTGTGTGGCCCTAGCTGGCTTGGTACTCACTATGTAGCTCAGGCTGGCATCACCAGCCTTTTGTCTCAGCCCTTCAAGAGATGAAGTCAAAGACACAAACCACCATGCCCCGAACTTAATGCTTGTAAATTATCTGCTAAGGAGTTAAGAAAGAACACGGAATGTGCATTTATTTTCAAATATTCCCAATAACATTCCCTTATGTATATAATATGTTGGCACACAAAGTAAGCATGATTAAATTTTGAAAGGTTGAAATAATATAAACTATGTTCTCTGAACAGAATGATATTTAATAAAATCCATAACAGAAAAAAAGAAGGGTGAAAATATCTTAAAACTGAATAATATTCTTCTAAACAGTTTCAAAGGAAAAAAAATCATAACAGAAATTAAAAATTTTAATTGATTGAAAGTGAGAAATGCCTACTAAAATTGTGGAATGCACCTAACATCATACTTAAAATGAGATGTGCATTGAAATGGTTGTTTGGAAAAGAAAAAGGTTACTGTGACTAATTTCAGCACGTGTGTTAGACTAGCCAGAGCAGACAGACTGACTTCTTGCCAGGTCCAGAGCAGCAATGAGTGGAGGTAGAAAGCCGCCATGGCATGCGTGTGTGTGTGTGTGTGTGTGTGTGTGTGTGTGTGTGTGTGTGTGTGTGTGTGCAGCAGACCTACTAGGTGAGCTGAAACAAAAGAGTAGTTGTTCTAACTCTTAAAAGAAGCTGGAGCAACTGGAGTTCTTGTAACTCAGTATAAATAAATGACACAGCAACTATAGAAAACAATCCAGTGTCTTCTTATAACGTCGTACAGACACTTACCTTGACACCAGCAACTCCATTTCTGAAGTATTTACAAACGGTGTGTAAATATTAGGTCCACACTAAGACTTGCATGAAAAATGTTCATGGCAACTTTCCTTCCAAATAGCTGCAAGCTGGAAAAGACATAAATACCCACCAACAGATGGCTAGGCAGTCAACTAGTGCCCCATGTAAAGCAGTGCTACCCGGAGACAAAAGGAAGGGTTATTATACACTGAACCATAGGTGAAGCTAAAGAATTATGCTCAGTGAACACTATAAACACAAAAGAGAACATACCATATGCTTTCATTTAAATAAAACTCTATAAAAGACAAATATAATGCATAGTGACAGAAAACAGATTAGTGGTTGACTGGGTCTGTGCGGGGGATTAGTTAGAACTGGGACAGAGAGGAACTTTTGGGGATGAGGTAACTTGCTGTATCTCAGTTGGGATGGTGGTTTTACGGGCATATAAATTTGTCAGAACTCATCAAAATGAACACTCAAAATGGACACATTTTAAATCGGTGCAGCCATTATGGGAAACAACATGGAAATTCCTCAAAAAAAAAATAAAAATAAAACTACCATATGATCTAGCAATCCCACTACCAGGTATATCCAGAGGAAATGAAATCAGTATGTTAGAGAGATGTCTGTACTACAGTGTTGTCCATGATAACCTAGATCTGGACGCAGCCTGCATGTCCACCAATGGATGGATGGATATGGAAGATGTGCAAGCTGCTGACAACAGATCGCACCATTCTGCCTTTTAACAACAAGATTTTGCCATTTTCAGCAGCATGAATAAACCCAGAGGTTGTGTTGGGGGATACGGTACAGAAGGTAAGTGCTGAATGAGCTCATGGGCGGAATCTAAAAACTGAAGCTCACAAGGGTAACAAGCACGGGTGGGTGAAATGTGGGGAAGAGAAGGATACATTCAGTTACCTAGGAGACATATGCTCAAGCGATCTACTACACAATTTAGCACCTTACGGCTTGGATATGAAGTGTCTCCTCCGTAAGGCTCAGTCATTGAAGGCTTGGTCCCTGCAGCAGTGGTTGGCGGTGAAGCTTTTGAGAAGTGATTGGTTCACAAAGGTTTTACCAATCAATTGATGACTTCAGATTTTAAGTATATTACTGGTAGGTGGTGGACTCTTAGTTGTGAGACTGGCTGGCTGATGGAGGTCAGTGGGGCCTGCCTTTAAATAGTGTCTTATTCACAGCCTCTCCCTGTATCTCTTGCATCTCTTGCTCTGCTTCTTGACTGCCATAACCGCTGTACTACCCTGCCTATGCAGCAGCCCAGACATTAAAACCAGGGGACTTTTGGCTAGAATCTCTGAAACAGTGGGCCAAGGCAGATGCTTCCACCTTTAAGTTGGTCCTGTCATGTGTTGCTGCCATTATGACAAACTAACACAGTTGCTGCAGATAACAGTGTTTTCAGAATCCTTAAGAGAATATGTATTAAATGTTCCCCCAACAGAAACAAGTATTTGGTATAAAGCTTATGCTAATCAGTTCAGCTGAGTCATTCTATAATATATATGTATTTTAAAGTTCACACTATACTCATAAACATTCCTATGTATATATGTATAGATACGTACATGTATCTATACATATATCTATACATATATGTACATTCCTATTTATCAATGGGAAGACTACCTTAAGTGTAGATCTATTGAATATAAAGTTTGCCTTGGTAAAGCAGATGTTTATAAAGTTTTCAGGTTTTCTCTCTAAACTCTACCTTCCTTTTAATTCCTTCTGTTCCACTTTCTCTGAAAGAACTGTTCACAGGTTTCCTTTATCACTTCAGCCGTTAATCAACATGCTCTGTGCATCATAAAATTCTTCTGGCCAGTCACCCGTGCCTCCTCTTTGCTGAGTCGCTCTGCAAAGGTGAACTTCTATGGGCCAATCAGCAGCATTCACCATGCTTGACCTCCCCTCCTCTCTCACGGTTATGCTCTATGGCTGTCCTAATGGAGCAAACACTCTTCTCAACTATGTGATCTCCACCACCTCTCCACCTTGAAATGTTGGCACGCACCTTAGACCCCTGGTCTACTCTGCTTAAACTATTTCCTTTGGGACTATTATCCATTTTCATGGTTTAGTTTCCCTCCATATGATCACAACACTCAAACTGACCCCTTTAATGTAGAGCCCCACCCCAGAACTCCAGACTCACATCCAAATCTTTATGCCATGTCCCTATGTAGGTTTCTGTTAAATGTCTCCAAATTAGTATTCCAGACCTTTCTCCACAGTTTTTCTTCTCATAATGCCGCATCCAATGTTCAATACCACTTATTCAGTTTTTTAAAACAAAATCTGTGGAGTCTTTGATATTGCTTTTTATATTATGCCCTCCACCAAGTCTGACACTTGTTGTCAATACATATCTAGCACCCAATCACGTCTCACTCTCTCCGCCACCGCCATCCCCATCTACATCAGCACCATTCTTGCTTTTGATTGCAACTTAGAATCATCTCTACAGTCTTTCTAATGGCTTCAAGCTCAGCATCCCCTTGCCTCGATCTCCCGAGTATTACCCCCACACCCCACCACTCCTTGCTTTCCTGCTTCCCCACACTGAGCATCAAGTTCAGGGTCTCACACACTCTCTGCAGGCGCCCTACCATGGGACTGGATTCCCAGCCCCTACAGCTATTTTTGAGGCAATGTCTTTCCTTGAACTCACTCTGTAGTTCAGGCAGGTCTTGAACCTATGATCCTCCCACCTCAGCCTCCTTGAGTAAGTCCGACTTGTGTCACCAGCCTTAGCTTCTGTCTCTTTCTCTATCATCAGTCCTGAACATACCAGCCAGAGGAATCCTGCTGAAACAAAAGTTGACACTTCTCTGCTCCAAGCTTTTCTGTGTCCTTTTGTTTCCTTTAGAGTAAAATTCAGTGTTTGCCAACTGTGCCCAGTGCAGCTCGTCTTCTAGCTCTGATAGATAGTGCTTGCTTTGCTGACCCCTCCTTCTTCCCCGGGGTCTTTGCACTTACTCCTCTGCCTGCCACACTTCCCCCTTTATTAACTCACGCAAATGCCACCTTGACCTTCCTTGATGGCCCACTTCAAGAAGCAACCTTCCTCCACACCTTCTCCTCCTCCTGTGGTCTCCTCTCCACAGAACTCATTACATGTTAATATGCTTTGTCCTTCATAATGCTTTTTGTATCCATTTCTCCCAAATAAAGTAGTGGAAACTCTGTCTGTTTTGTTCAGCACTATAACTCTGACACCTAGAACTATGCCTGAATCATAACAGGAATTCAATAAGAGTTTGTTAAATTAATATTTGTATGAAAATGCTAATGTTAAAAATCTGCCTTTAAATGAGATTTTCCACTTCCAAACTGTTAACTGTTTTATTGTTATTTAAGCTGTCATCCATATTAATGGGTTGCCTTGTCACTGTCATTTTCATATATGTATATCATTATACTTTGGCCCTCTCATTGCCCATCCCTGTCCCTCAATGTTGCTGGCCTCCTCCATAGCCATTGCTTATCATTGTTCTGAGAGTCTAGTCAATATAATCAGCTGTTAAAACAAAATTTCACTTACTTAAAATAATTTCCATTATTTACTGATGCACTATGTACTCAGAAGACCTGAAAGGAAAAAAGTAGAATCTGTGTTTGAGTGTCTATTAGTGTTGTCAACTGAACTCTGTCCTCTTATCATTCACAGTCCAAGCCCTGAACTCTAGTGCCTCTGATAATGACTAACCTGAAGACAGCGTTAGAGAGGTGAGTTAACAAGAAGTCACTACAGTAGGCCACAGCTGATATGACTAATGTCTTCATAGAAGATGAATACATACAAAAAGACCTAGAAGGTGTTCACACACAGAGGGCAGATCGTGTAGGAGACACAGGACAAAGGAGGCTTCTGCATCCATAGAGAACGTTGTGTTTTGACCTTAGACATCTAGCCCCCAGGGCTGGAAAAACTGAATATCTTAAGCCCTGTGTCTATATAGCTTCTTGTGGCAGCTGGACAAACTAGCACAGTTGCCAATAACCAGTTAAAGGATAAAAGGGAAAATACTTGCCTTCATAGTAGCCCTGGCCTAATAAAATGCCTAGCAACAACCTTATCATGTAAAAACATTGGTTTGTTTTCTTATTCTTAGCACCCTTGGGACCCAGGAATGGGGCAGGGCCATGGTTTCTTATCCCTCGTGTTGGCATCATCTGCTCAAAGCTACCCAAACAACACAGCCTTTGTCCAACAGCACAGACTTACAAAGAGAGGGTGTTAAATATTAGATTGTGGTCTCAGATTCGATCCACTTCAACCTGGTTTACTGTGCTTTGATGGGGCTTACTGTGATGGCTAAACCAGATAAGGCTGAGAGATACCCAGGCCATTAGTATAAGACACACCCCAGAGTATGTTTCCAGATGAGATTGAGAGGAGAAGACCAGCCCTGAGTGGGTGGCACCATTCCCAAGCCAGACTCCAGATGGAATGAGAGGAAAAGGGGAAAGCCCGTGTGCACAGGTGTTCTCACTCTGCTTCCTGGTCACTATGGTGACACCTGCTCCCCCTCCTCTACACCTCCTATGTGAAGCACAGAGACCTCTGGAATTGTGGTCTAGAGTAAATCTTCCTCCTCTGAGGTTCTGTCAGACATTTTGTCACTGTGACAGAAAGTTCGTTTGGACCATATTTTTTCTCACCTAAAGCAAAAAAGTAATCTCCACCACTCATTCCTTCAACAGTGAAGACTTTAGGTAGAAGACTTTGTGACAATGAAAATACCTTGTCCAAAGACAAGGAGTCACAGCTCTGAGGTCCATGGTGTGTCCTAGCTTGCTGTGATTAAAAGAAACAATGAAAACAACAATGACAAACAAACAAACAAAAAACCCTGACCAAAGGCAACTTGGGAGGAAAGGGCTTATTTCATCACAAACCATCATTGAGGGAAGTCATGGCCGGAACTAACGTGGGAACTTGGAGGCAGGAACTGAAGCAGAAGCTGTGGAGGAACACTGCTTATCAGCTTGCTTTATATATGGCCCAGGATCTCCTGTCCACAGTAGCCTGCCCCCCATCAATCATTAACCAGGCAAATGCCCTTACAGACTTTCCCACAGACCAGTAAAATGAAGCATCGTCTCATGCAAGATTCTCTCTTTCTGAATGACTTTAGCTACTATCAAGTTGACAAATAACCAACCAGCACATGGTGTATGGTAGACACCCTCCAACCCTTCCTCTGTTTAGCTGCTGCTGGCTCACAACACAAGAGGCAAACTCAGGAGAGTGGTTGCCCCTGCTGCTGCTCCGTCTTCTCCCCTCCCCTGCATAATCTGTAGCCGTTGTCTACATTTCCTAAGACAGTTCAAAGTTGTTGCCATGGGGATCAGACTCTTCCAGAAGACCTCTCTTCCAACATTTTCACAGGGATGTTTCTTTCTCCTCAAGCTTTGGCTCAATTCCACCACCCACAAGACTCATCCAAATTCAAGCTCTACCCCTGCTCCACACCCTGCCATTGGAACATGTTCTCTTTCATGGTTTGTCACTATTTAGCCTTTCTCTGCATTTTCTTATTAGTGCTCTGGATTTCATCCACTAGATCACAAGTGCCCACAAATGCAGACCATCATTCTTGTCTTTATTTGTCAGGGCTGGCTCCACCAGAGCTCCACAACACCTTTAACTTCCAGTGGTATGGGCCGGTGAACACTTAAACGCATACACCATTAGATGAATAAAAAGGAATGGAAATGTCGTTCTCGGGATATGATTATACCCTTGGCCATAATTCCTTGGAGACCTGAATTACTAATAGGAACTTTCTCTTTTCCTTGCTGGTTTATAAGCAAGGGCCTTTTCTTTACCCACTTATTCCTCCCACCAAGAGGAAGGGCTTTACTGGGGTTGAATGTGATAGTCAATAAAGACCCGACTAGTGATTATATATGGATGAGCTTATCTCCATCCATTCTATGTTTCTGCAGAATCAGAACCTGACACTGATAAATGAGCACCTGCTCAATAATTTGCTTTGTTGATCCAAGCAGACCAAGATGGTAAAGTCAGATATTGAGAAAGTTCTATACTCATTGTTGCCATTGCCACCTTGATGTCACAAGTGGTCCAAGACATTGTGAACAAAGTACCATCAGTGATGGGATGTTCAAGGGATGCCCTCCCTGAGTTAATGGGAACCGTGCATCTGCCTAAACAGGCCAACACTTACAAAGGACAAACATGCATCAGTTACCAAACTCCTGCCCTCAAAGTGATTCAGAAAAGACAGCAATGTGCCTAGAAAAGGAGAGGATGGGCCTCACATGAGAGGAGCTTAAATAACATATTTTTATCATTATCATCATCATCATCATCATCATCATCATCATCATCATCATCATCAATGACCTAGAATTCATTTAGATATAGCAACAAGATTTGGAGAAGAAAAATTATACAGAAAACTTATATGACTGAATATTAAAACACATGCTAGTACTGATTGCTTAGATAGTGTGGTCTTGGCAAAAATAATGGGGTAAAAACACACTATATTACATGTGAAAATTTAATGTCTGAAAAGAACCACAAATTAATGTAGAAATAATGAATTCTTCAGAAAAAAATATTGAGAGAATTGAATGAATCTTTAAAAGAAAGATTCTATAACTATAGAATAAATAAATATAGAATATATAAAGATTCAATAAAAATAAACATACACTACTTAAAAACAATTTGTAAGTGGATGGCAAAGTTAGATGTACAATGACGCCAGAAAGTTGGCATAGCAGTGCCTCTGTGGGGATTGAGAAAACTTTCTTATAAAAAAAGAAATTATATGCACCAAAGAATGAAAGTTCACTAGGCTGTACAAACAAAATATCTGTGCATCAAAATGCCTTTGTCAAGCAACATGGCAGAAAAACCTGAAGAACAGGCTGTTGCATTCTGGAAAACGGGGTGTTAATGTTCTCAATATGCAAATAACCACCATGTGAATGAGCTAGAAATACTTATACACTGTTTTAACCTAGGACATTTATAAAGGAGGAATTAAGACCATTTTCCCCCCAAACTAAGTAACTCACATAAAATTAACACAGTAAGTGGCAAAACCCAGACAGGGTGGTTCTAGAATCCACACGCTTAAGCCACCACCTTGCAATGTGTACAGTTAAAGGACAAGCAAAGCTGTGGAAGATGCCAACAGTAGTTTCCTTTAACCTGCAGACCTATGGGTAATTTGCATTTATTTCCTTCGATGATGAGAGGGTACCCAACTACTATCCACAGTACATCTCATCTTGGAGCCTTTCTTTCAGACAAGTGCATTCAATGGCAAGTCCAGTGCCATTTTCTGAGCTAAGGACCCTAGGTCTTTATTGATCCTAGATCAATACAGCCCCAAATTGGCTAACAGCCCAAATCATGAGACCTTTTAGAGATCACAAAGGTCTTACTGGGATTCTAATGTATGACTTTCTATCCAACACCATCTCCTTTTGAAGTGATATCTGACAGCCACTTGAGTAAGCCATTTGTTACCATATACCCCTAAGCAGCAGACAAGATGACCTGGGGGCACTTTTTTTTTTTCCGGTGACACCACTGTTCTGAAATTGATATTGGCTGCATTTTCACTTTGGGTCCTGTTCCTTCCTCTTCCCATAACCTCTATGTGATCTAGAGAGCCCCTCTCACACATAAAAAGCAGAGCTATGTCCTGGCATGTGAAGCAAATCAGATTTTATCTCTCTCTCCATCCCAATCTTCAGTTTACTTCCTACAAACATTCAGACATGTCACCGTCACATCCTGATATTAGTATCCAGTCACAAAGATTCTGTTTCTCCCATGGTTGGGCTTCTTCCACCAATTTTCCAAAGCCATCCCATAATAGGGTCAGCTTTCTTCTTCTGACCTTGTTCCCTGTTGAGTCTACAGAACCCCAAACCACAAAAAAGCAAATACCAGGAGGATATGGGGGAGACGTGACCAGACAACTTCCTGGTGACATACTCCAAGTTGTCCCAGTACCACAGACTGTTGTGGTTTCCTATATTTCTGTTCTGTATTAACCTTGACCTCTCTCGATGCCTTTCTGTACTTCTGTGGCAGACTGAATCATCTTTCACCCAAAGGAAGCATCCTCTAGCTAGAGCCATGTCTCTCCAAGGCAGGTTTCTATCATGAGAGACCGGAAGGCAGGCTCTGATCACAGACCTATTGGGGGGTCTGGCACCCATACCTCACTGCTTCTTAACTTCGATTCTGAAAATCCCATTTAGTTTTTCTAGTAGAGTAGGATGTGACTGTCAAACAGTCATGAGGCAACAACACCAAAGTTCTCCACAGAACCTTGTGGGTAACAGCCACCTCCCTTCAGCCCACACTCAATACTGTCCCAGCCCCCCTTCCCAGTCTTCTCAATTGCTGTTTCATTATGTACACCTATGTCTGTGACAGCCTTCAGTCCTAAAAGGAACCTTGTGAGAGTGAAAACCATTTACTTCATTTTTTCATTCCCCGGTCTCCTCATCAACATCTGGAACAAGATTTTTATTCACAGCAGGTGTTCTGCAGCCATTTTATTTACCTTGCCTGCTTATTTATCTGCTTTAAAGAATGCCTGTATATTTCAGGCTCCAAGAGAGTACATTTTCTTAAGATGACTCCATTATTTTGTTGCTGGAGCCAAGAGATGTGAAGGGAGGGGAGCTGGAAATGGAGCCAGCCCCTGCTCACTTGCAATGAACTTGCCCTGGGAATTCGGTACTGGCAGGGACGCACAAAGACTCCACCTGCGCATGGAACGCTCTCCCCTCTGCTTTCAATAGCCACTCTCTCTCCAAGCTCTCCTATAACACACTACAGCTCCTTGTTCAGAGTTGATTCAAGGATCATCTTTTCTGAAGGAGGTTTTCTGCTTTCTTATCATGGTGCTAGGGTCTCTCTTCTCCGAATCACCATATAATAATGCATGGAAGCTCCTAATATATACTGTATTTCATCAGCACAAGAGCACAATTTTCAGCTCAAAGAGGATAAGAGTTCATTCTAAGGTCAAGCATGAATGACCATGACCCAGGAAAGAGGTGTTCCACTGCAGAAGTGGTTACATTAGATTTTATTAATTACAGAAAAAAGAATGTCATAAGTCATGACATTTACCAAGTTCATCAGTGGGTGGGCTATAGTGCAAAGCAGAGAAAACTTGGCTATAGGCTTCAGACACTGCCCAACAATGTCAGCTTCTGCTTTGTTGGAAGTTAGTACTCTGCTATGGAAATATTTCATAGGATGCTAAGCCACATAGGGTGTTATGAATGGCTTTCAATAGGACTAAAAATAGCTTAAGAAAATTTGGCTCTGGTTTGCAACATCTCAGCTTAGTCACTTGTACAGTCTTTAAGATGAGACTTAAAGTGCTGCTTTGCTTTTTCCTAGAAATTTCCATTTAACATCTGTTAGATTCAGTTTGGCTACATATAATAATAATTATTTTTAATTTCCCAAAATAACAGTACTTGAACAAGGTAGAAATTTATTTTTCACCTTAAAAACAAATCAAGAGTGTACCATCCTGCTTCAAGGCTGTTCCATGGAGCTATTAGAAATCCATGCCCTCTTCCTGTCTCCATCCAGCTATAGGCTTCCACTATCAAGTTCATCATCTTTCAAAATAGTGAGTTTCATGCCAGGACAAGTGGGGGGAGCACTTGAATAGCAGCTCTGCCTGGTGGGTTGTCACCTTTTGGGTCTTCCTTAGAAACCCACACAGCACATGCCTGTTCACACTTCCTCAGAGAGGTTGCAGTTTGACAAAGCAAGCCATCGTCAAACAGAATCCATTGTGCTCAGAGATCAGGAAACCAGATGTAAACCAGTGTAGTGGTTTGAATGTGAAACAGCCCTCACAGGCTCATGTGTTTGAACATTTGCTCTCTGGCTGGTAGTGCTGGTTTAGAAGACTGTAGAAGGTTTAGGAGTTAGGAACTTGCTGAAGGAAATGATTTGCTGGGGTCAGATCTCTTCTCTGTTTGCTGTCTGCTTTCTCATTGCAGATGTGGTGTGGTAAGTCCCCGGAGGCACTGCTACCATGCCTTCCTGGCCACAATGAACTGAACCTCTTCTTAAGCTTTAAGGCAAAACTCCAACCAACAAAGCAAACAGAAAAATCTCTGCTCTTACTCTTGCTTCATTTCTGGTCGGGTGTTTGCTCACAGCAAAGAAAACGATTTCTATAGAGAAATGGAAAAGCACATGTCAAGGTAAGCAAATGGCTTCCAAACACACAATTTATAATCTGAACAGAACTACTTGCTTTTAGATCTATCTTCATTCCAGGCCATGAGCTATTGGAGATCTAGGATTTAACTGTCAATTCTAGACTGACAGTACTGTGTGTGGTTCCCACAAGAGGGCAGGGAAGGTATCTGCTCATTGGTCCTCACAGAGGAGTTAAAAATCAAAAGACACAGTGACACAGCCTGTTGTGTGGAGACTCTCCAGTTAAGGACCAGTCCTGCCCACAGCATGAGATCTTTCTTCATAAAGATGCAGAAATGAATTGACATGTCATTCTGAGGTTAAAAAAAAAAAGTAACGCAGCTCTACAAATTAACTCAACAAGCATTTACCACTCACATTCTAGACTCCAAAAAGAAATAAGGCCAGACATTTAGCCAAAAGCCAAAGATGTGACTTTCAGCTCTAAATATTTTGCAGAAGCAGTGGTGGCCTTGTGAAGCCAAGCTACCATTAGAGAACCCCAGGCCATGCGTACGTTCCAGAAAGGAGAATGCTTTGCCAGCCTGCCACCTGTCTTGGCAGGAAGCCCTGTGTCCCTTGCTTCTTCCTTCTGTTCCTTAGAACCAGACAGACATCCACAAAGCCATAGAGAGGGGCTAAATAATTTGCCGACCACTGGCGTTTTCAGAGACAAAACCAATCTTCTAGCTTACACTTATGTTTCTCACCATCCATCACTGCACACATTGCCTACCCAATTCAATGGGTGAATGTCTTTCCATAGTGTCCAGGTTTACTTTCTACTTAACCGTCACCACTAGCTGCCAGAAAAGCAGTTCACTGCTGAGCTGGCATGAGGCCACCAACTTTTGATTAAGAAGGAGTTTTCTAGGGAAACATGGGGGCCACAGAAATTACTAAGCCCTTAACAATCTTGTGGTGACTCTCCCAGGAATATTACCAAACCTGAGTTACCAACTCCCTCTGGGTTACTCATCTTATAGGATGATGTGTTGCAGCCGCAGGGCTCTGAGGACCCAAGTGTGCCAAGAGTTCTGAAGTAATCTGCTCTTTGTTAGAGATGGATTCAGTTAAAAAATAATCACAAAATTGTTAAATTATTGAACTAGTTAGCCTATATTGACACTATGAAAAGTTAATGGTTTCAAAAATAAACTCTGTAAGAAAATGAGAACAGGCCTTTTCAACTTTTGATTACTAAATCTGAGACCCCATAAAATGGAACTCCATATGACCCTTGTTTTAGATGTCCACATTTATTGTCTGTTTTAGGCTCAAAACAAGGCTTACTCTGGAGACATTTTGAGCTCATCAAATATGTAAATTGTTTTTCAAACACTTTGGGGTTACCACAAAACCTAAATTGTTTTTAGCTAACCAAGCACTTTCTCTCTTCGGTTTCAAAGGCCAATTTCATTTTATGTTTTTCAAGAAAATTTAATTCAGATGTTTCTGATCCACTTGCAATTAAATAATTAAAACACTATTTTGAAAGAGTTGATTGGTGTGCAAAAAAGCAGGAATGCTCTCGAATCCTTTGTCTCAGTCTCTGTAAACCTGTTTTCTGGAAAAAAAAAAAAAAACAACAGAAAATCTTGCTTTGCCAATAGTAAACCAACTATAATGGTACAATTTGGTTGAAAGTCTGATTTTAGAGCAAATCTAGAACCATCCATTTGGAAAGGCATGGGCTGTGTGGAGGACTCTTCTCTCTCTTGTTTCCAGGGAATTGGAAGTAGAACCTTCTGACCAGATACTTTTCCAGTGATGGGTACTTGGAAGAGGTGAACAAGACCCAGGGGCTTTCATCTAGGACCGAGTGGGAGCTCCCAGGCTGGTCATAGTTTTATTGATCTTGCTTTTGATTTCCAAGCATTGCCAAGATGGTTTTGCAAGCTGGATCCAGTGAAACATGGAGGTAAAAATAGGTGTGGGGATGCAAGCACTCAGGAGGCAGAGGCAGGTGGATCTCTCTGCTTGAGGTCAGCCTGGTCTGCATTACAAGTTCCAGGCCAGCCAGAGCCTCATAGAGAGATTCTGTTTTCAAAAAGGAGGAGAAGAGGAGGAGGAGGAAGAGGAGAAGGAAGGATGAAAGGAGGGAGGGAAGGAAGGAAGGAAGGAAGGAAGGAAGGAAGGAAGGAAGGAAGGAAGGAAGGAAGGAAAGAATTACTGATTGCATCAACTGGTTCTACTTCAGTCTGTCCTGCTGAATTGGAGCCCATTCAAGCCAACATATAGGAGCCATTGAGAACTCAGTGCTTTGGGGGAACTCCCATACATACTATTATCTTCTTAGATTATTAAACACTTGATACTTGATTCTTAGAATGAACCCACTAAAATCAGAGTATAAGAAGTTGCTGCATCTAAAAACACAACATCACCTCCCCTAGACCTGGTGGCTCTGAGATTCAGAAGATGACTTTAGTCAATTTCCTTTAAGACAGAGACACTCACATTGTTGATCTCAGGGGGTTTTAAGAGCTGCTTTCCTTGACACAGAGCAGTCTGTATTATGGTGCAGGTATTTTGAGAACCCTTCCAGGTGGACCTAATCACTTAGAATTCTCACCGGGGGTGGAAATTCACTTTTCTGTTAAGCAAAGCAAATTAAGGGATCGTGTTTATTTCAACTCTGGTTGCAGAGGGATCAGAGGCCATCATGGCAGGAAAGCATGGCAACAAGCAGCAGGAATGGCACCTGGGGCAGGAGTCTGAGTGCCCACATCAGGAGCAAGACACAGAAGCAGAGAGAGCAAACCGGAAGTGGCACAAGGTACTTAGTCTCAAAGCCCACCTGCAATGACGTGTATCCTCTGGAAAGAGTGTCACCAGCTGAGGAGCAACCATTAAAATATCTAACCATAGGATGGACACTTCTCATTTAAATGGCCACACTAGTTAAGCGGTTGTCACTTTCCTTGCTGCTATAACAAAATAAGAGCAACTTACAGTATTTGTTTTGGCTCACAATCTGCAGGCTGCAGTCCTGCAGGCTGGCAGGAGGAATCTGAGGGGACTGCACACTTGGTGTCCACTGACAGGAAACAGAGAGTAAAGGATGCAGGTGCTCAGCTCATTTCCCTGTGATTCATTCTGGAAGCCAACCCATGGAATAGCGGCACTCTGTTAGAGTGGATGCTCCTACTTCAGGGAATCAGTCTAGAAACTCCCTCACATACATGCCCAGAGATTTGTCTCTAAGGTGACTCTAGATATATCAGATTGACAGTATTTGATGTCATGGGGCATAAGCAGTACCTCTGCATGCTGCATGTGGTTTGGTGTTGAATTCAGTAATGCAGGTAGCAGTAGATGACTCTGTCCACTGAGCTAGACAGACATAAGGCTAGAACTAGAATCCAAGATCTTTGATTCTCAGCAAAAACCTATTACTTTCTATATTCTGAATTCAACTTTATTCTGCTGCATAACCTCTGACTTAAATGTTTATGACTCTTATTTGCACATAGGGCTTGCCTGTGTCAATCCCTTTATCTCAGGTTGAGAGTAGGTTGACTTCTCAATACCTATGTGACAACAGTTAACTGCCCCTTAGAAACACAACTGAAGATAGAAAGACTTCTCTGGGTGCTGGGGATTTTGCTGGCTCAGACCTGGCTGGAGGAGGGTTACACAGAGATGTCCAGAAGGGAACAGAGCTAAACATGAACCACAAGAGCAAGGTGTAAAGACGATGTAGAGGGAAACACAAGGTCACTACAAGCATTGCTTTGTTTGATTGTGTTTTACTTTATTAAAACAACAATAGCAACAAAAGATATCCACATTTCAAAGCACAAGAGTAAAGACTTTGGGTAGATTTCCTCAAAGGCAACTACTGAGAGTTTGGCAGAGCCTCTGCCCTTGAGGTTGGTTTGGATAAACAGGGGCATTGGGGACTGTGTAATCTAAGCTTCTCCCCATAGTCCATGCCAGCATTTTAGCTGCCAATAAGTAGACATGCTTTTTGCTTCCAAAAATAAAATGCGATTATACCCTTGCTATACCCTTGGTCATTCCATGGACCATCATAGGAAGAAAAGAAGAGATGAATTTTGTGGTGGTGTTTTTGGTAAGCTCCTGTTTAGAAAATTCTTTGGTGTGTGCTATCATAGAGGGGCTGGCTGCTGTGGGCAGACAGCGATCACCTAATAGAGTCCCTGGAAGTGACTTTCCTGCCAGGGACCATAATGAGTCTTTTTCTGTGCTGCCAGCTCCCAAATAATGATATGGAGACTTCTTATTAATTATGAAAGCTTGGCCTATAGCTTAAGCATGTCCCACTAGCTCTTATAACTTGGCTGTTCATCTTTTTATTACACCAGTCACAGAAATACATTTTCACACAGTGTACAAATATCCCACAACAAGGGACACCAGGCCTCCATTAGTAAATTAGTAAATGGAGGCCTCTTGCTGTTATATATATCTGATACTTCTCTAGATTGGACATGAAGGTTAAGAAAGAAACAAACAGGGAAAACTGGGGACATTTTCTACAGCTGTGACAGGGAAAACAAAGGTCTTAGAAATGTCATCATGTCAATACATTTTTTGGTTACAATAACAGAATGTGTGAGACTATTGTATAATTTGTTAAAGAAAAGTTTACTTGGACTTTGGATACAGCAGCAGCATAGAGTTTCAGGATACAGCAGTGGTATCTGGTTTGGGTGTCATAACAGGGCAGAAGGCAAAAATGCAAACAGATGTGTGTAGAAGAGGAAAGCTATGAGAGGCAGCCTTGGACCCATGAGAAAGGCATTAATCCCCCTGAATGACCAAATCATGTCTTAAAGCTACCACTTTTCAACACCACACAGAAGCAATTAAATTTAGGCATGAGTTTTGGAGGGGGCAAACCTTATTTAGATCAAGCTTCTTGAGTTCTCTGCAGCCATACTAACAATGAGAAGATCT